AGAAAGAAAAAGACTGACTGATGTTAAGAAACAAAAAGACAGACTAACACACTGTGGGAATTTTAAAAGAAAAAAAAAAAAAAAACCAAAACACACAACCCCCCCCCAAACCTCAAAACCATAAGAAAAGGGAACCAGTTTCCAAAAACGAAACATAACCAAGCTGCCATTTACACAGCTTACCTATTAAAACTCCCAAGAAATAAAAACACTTCCAACCTACTATTCTGTGATTTATAATAAAACCATTTACTGTCTTATTTCACCCTCCCCCTTTTCAACATTCCCCCTTCAAGTTACCTGCATTTATTCTGCCTCGAGAAACAACACCCATCTGCTCAATGTTTAGATATTAAATACAATAATGCTAGCCTTGCTCCAGCCTTAGCTCACAAAGCACATTTCCCTGGATAAAACCAGTTCACTGTTTTGGAGACCACTTTGAAATTAGGCAATCGTACTTCTACTGCAGTTGCCCCAGAGAAATTAAAGCAGAAATGGGATTCAGAAAACCAGGTGCTTAAAAACCAGTTTCTTTTATGTGGCACTACCCACCAGCCCAGCCACAGCACAGAAGATCACCATCCAATGGGTACAGCACTAAGACCACCGACATTTGTTTAACAGATCAAAGTTAAGTCATTGCATTAGTTAAATCACTGTATTCGTTCAGCTACGGACAGGATAACACAGAGGCAAACAGTCTCTCTGAAGAAATACACGGCTGGCATTGGATTACTGCAAACATGGAAGTGAACGAGCTTAGGTTAACCACGAGAGTGGTTACAGCAAGACACTGCTGGTAAATTAAGCTTCTACTACCTAAACTGATTACAAATATAATTCCCAAGAAACAACTACAGGAGGAAAGAAGGGAGTCATAGAAATGAAAACTCAATGGGATCGAGCAGCCGATCTAGAACAGCTGATGAAAAAAAGGATGAAAAAGCTCTTTAGAAGCCTTCATTGGTGTGCTTGGTGTCAGGCAGGTGAGACCTGCACCCAGGAAGGGTTGTAGCCGTGGCTGTTGCCACACAGGAGATCACAGAGGTTGCCATCTGCCTCAGGAACCACACCAACTTTATTCACAAGTGGGACACAAAGCACAGCCAGAGCCTGAGAGGGCTGGATGGGCAGCAACCTTCCTGATCTGTCAGCAGTCTGTTTTTCACTTTGTACATTTTCTTCTCAATTCTCTGAATATTTACCCTACAAAAAATTAAGAACAGAAAATCCCATGATTTACAATGCTTCCTCTGGACCAAAGCATCTGAAACGCCCAATAAAACATTTATCATTAGCAGAGATTTTTTTTTTACCCAACAAATTTTCAAAATAATGACTTCTGATTTTAAATCAGAATGCATTTATTACTGAAACTACGTACTCAAAAGTGTTAAAAATCGATGTGCTAGCCAGGTTAAAGACATTTAGATCATATAAAACATTTCAAGTTCTGGTTCAGCACACAAAAACTCAGCTCTACTTGAACAAAATCAAAACAGTTTGGAGCTTCTCCACTTTCTTGCTAATATTTGAAAGAGTCTTTCAACAAGCAGTTGGTATGCCCAGATCTTTTGAGTATATCTGAACTTGCTTCTCATTTTCTGCCCTAGGCAAGCCCTCCTGTAGGCTCAACAGAAGCAAAAGCAGCCCTGTCTGAACAACTCCTCCCTGAGATTTACAAAAATCCTTAAGATTTAGAAGTCTTTCTGCCAAAGGGGGATGAGGATCATGGAGGAGGGCTTTCAGATCTCTTCTCCCTGCCTTTTTCTTCTATACCACCTTCTCCCCCACGCCATTCAAGAATATTGTTAAAGAATAAGCCTTTACATTTGGGTTGAAAAACCACAGCAGCTGTATGGCTGAGATGCACACCCATGCAGCTGGATTACCAAAGAACAAGACAGGAACCATGCTGATCTTCTGGTAGTAAGTGGAAGAAATAAGAGTTATCTGAAGAGCATCACTTATTACAACATGCTGCTAAGTGTACAAAAATCAAAGAGACAGGAGGCTTCCTCCTCCCCTCAAAATATTTGCTCATGTCAGACTGCTGTGATTAGCAGTGTTTTCAGAAGTGTTATTTACACTCTGTGGTCTTGAGTAAAGTCATTCCAGTTCCCTTCTTAAGCCAGAAACCTTGACAAAAACTATACCACTAACAAGACAACCCAAGCCTACTTACTGGAGGACTGACATTCAAGTACAAAACACCTATTTGACTCACAGGACTGTGGGGATCATTTCAGGGTGCAGGCCAAGGCATTGCTGGCTAGGGTTAATCATAGCCAATGTATTCCCCGTGAGCCAGCCCAGACGAAGCAGGAGCGTACATTGGCTACTCAATATACTGTAGCTCTAGACGTTCATATCAAATTCTAAATTTATTGGATGCTCCCTGTCACAGCCCAAGC